AGTACCGACTGCCTCTCGTCCTAACCTTCGTCGACTATGAGAAAGCCTTCGACAGCGTCGAAACCAACGCCATCCTGTCAGCGCTAGTCGATCAAGGAGTGGACCCAGCCTACGTGAGGACACTAGCCAACTGCTAAACTGCTACAAGGACTGTACAACAAAGATACAGCTGTTCCATCGCCCCCTGACCATACCAATCGGGAAGGGGGTCCGACAAGGCGACACAATCTCGCCGAAGCTGTTCACCGCGGCCTTGCAGTGGGTGACGAAGTCACTGGACTGGGACGAGAGAGGCATACGAGTTGACGGGAGATTCCTGTCTAACCTTCGTTTTGCGGACGACATCGTTCTCTTCTCGAGCAGTATCACCGAAGCAGAGACGATGTTGAAGGAACTGAACGAAGTAGGGAAGAAGATCGGACTGCGAATAAATCGGAAGAAGACTCAGTTCATGAGGAACGCCCTTTGCGAAGATGCAGAAATGGGATTGGAAGGCACCCCTATTATGGAGACGTCTTCTTACGTGTATCTGGGACGTTCGATGAACATGAAGAACGACTTGAGGGAAGAACTTAACAGGAGAAGAAGAGCAGCCTGGGCCGCCTTCGGGCCTCTGAAGGAAGCCACCGACCAACTGACGGGCCCGGAGCTTCGTGCCCACTTGTTCGATTCAACCGTTCTCCCGGCGCTCTGTTACGCAGCTGAGACTTGGGCCGACACTGTAGCCACGTCGAAAGCTTTATGGACCACCCACAGAGCGCTCGAGCGCAGTCTTCTGAAGATGACCCGACGCAAGCAACATCTAGTCGGACTTCGCAGCACGGATATGAGAAGAATGTCCCGTCTTCGTGACCCAGCGGAATACATTGCGAAAGCCAAACACCGATGGGCCGGTCACATAATGAGAAGAACAGACGACAAATGGACATTAAGAACATCTGAGTAGATTCCTGAAGCCAAACGTCCTCGAGGAAGACCACCAACGAGATGGGCAGACGTGTTCGTGGAACGGATGGACCAGCTGAGAAATCAGCTGGATACGACTTCCGCCCCTGGAACTCGTGGACGCAGCCACCGACGAAGGCCAAGAAGATCGTGGATGTCTGAAGCGAGGGACAGGGAAAAATGGCAACTTCTGTACTGGGGCCCGCACGTCACGTGAGGAAGGGCCATCTAAGTATCTAAATAAGTACCCATCAGTAAGTATTACCAACATTCTTCACCATGAACATAGTGAACAGAAGCGAGGAGCTGTACAAGCCGCATTTCCCAGCTTTTTGTATGACCCCTGGTAGTCCCCGGCAGCCAATCGTCTTCTCTCTAAAGTCACTTTTCTTTTAAAGTTAATGAATACATTTCAAAGTTGAATCGCTTATCTAACCCACAGTGCTAAGTATGTTGACCAGAACAAATGATGTTTTGAAGTCATGAAGTTTTTGATGAACCACAGGTCGAAAGTTGGGGTTTGTCGAAAATTTCGATATTTCCGAAACTCCTCTGTTCTCATCAGCAATATGCTTAACTCTAATGTCAAATAATCAGTAGAACGTGGAAAAGCAGTGAGGTAACAACATGTTCGTAAAGGTAAAGATGTCGTGACTCATCTTACGCTACAAGTTTGCTATAGTTATAAGAACATTAGCAATAGTTGCTTATTATAACAGAGCTGAAAACTTTGGCTTTCTTTGACATTTCAGTCGAAAAAAATATGTCATCGGTTTTTATACGAAATTTAGATGGCTCAGAAATATAAAAGACCTTTCCAAGCAGATCTTTTTGCTGTCCCGAGTGCCGGAACTGTGCTGTCAAGCTAGCTCCGTGCGAGCACAGCACTAGCGGACCTTTTGGTAGAAAGTTCGATTAATATCTGGCTGGGAACGAGGCTCTCCATATGCCCCTCCCCCCCCCCCCCCCAACAAAACGGCATCACCTGTATAGATATAGATCGAGATAGCGCCGAAACAGCAAGGCACTGGCTTGGCGCCGGCACAGCTCCGGCACTCTGGACGGAGCCGAAGTGCGTGAGTAAGAAAGTAGCGATAGGGAGTAGCGATTAAAACATGAAAAGCCTCAATAGTTCACATACGAAGATGCACTGAAGCAGTCTACATGGAAGTTTTTACATTTTCAAGAAATTCGAACGGCGTTCGTAACAAAACGAGCGACAAAAAATTGTATAGAAAAGTTGTTTTAGAAACAAATTAGCGGCATACGCCGGCTTTGCCGGCGCCCTGTCGATACTGCTAAAGGTCACCATCCCTACCCCTTTACAGCCCTTCCCTGTGCTCACTTCTACGGGCCACATGCATTAACATCTCCTCCGGTAAGGAATCGCAGCTCCAGATACCTGGATTTCACGCAGTCTATTTATCCGTAAGTACTCCCACCATCCTTCATTATGAATATCTTGAACGGGGGCAAGAAGCTGTACAAGCCGCATTTTCCAGCTTTTTGTTCGATCCCCTGATGATCCCTGGCTGCCGACCGTCTTTTCTACAAAGTCATTTTTCTTTTTTCGAAGTTAATAAAAACACTCCAAAGTTGTGCTGTTCAATTAACCTAACAGTGCTACTCATATTTATGGTAATAACAAGTGATGTTTCAAAGTCATGAAATTTGCGATGAACCACAAGTCGAAAGTTGAGGTTTGTCGAAAAAATCTATATTCCAAAAACTCATTTGTTCTCATCGGCAACATGCCTAGCACTATTGGGTTAAAAAATTAGTACAACTTTGAAAGATTTTCATTGACTTTGAAGGAAGAATGACTTGAACCAAATTGACAAATCAAGATCATACAAAAAGCCTGAAATTGCGGCTTGTACAGCTTCTCGCTCTTGTTCAATATGTTCATAGTGAAGGACGATGGGAGTACTTACGGATAGTAGACGGCGTGAAATCCAGATAACTGGAGTTCCAGGGTTTAAAGTTTTCTCTTAAGCAGCTGTCCCCTCCCTGACCGGGATGTCAATGCACGCGGTCCTAAGCTTTGAAAAAACGGGATTTTGAAGATGAGATAAATTCTTGTTTAATGAAGAACAGTAAATAGCTCAACTACGGAGTTTTAGAGGAGGATTTGCTGCATTTCGGCCAAGAAAATCGAAAAGGAAAACTAATATTTGGAGCCAAATTGAGAAAATTAGGCGCCTCAAATGCTTTGACAGAGAAAGTTGCTGATGCCTTATGAAAATTTACACCAAAAGGTAAACAATATATTAGCAAGGAAAAACCGCGAAAAGCAGAGTCTAAAGAGGGATGCTTTACGAGATAGCGAAACACCATTTCGCTTGTCTAATGCGTAGGGCAAGTCTAGAGAAAAGATACAAGGTAAAAGAGGTGCATGCCATTTCCGAGAATGAGCTTTACTGAAAGTGACATCTTCTCAACTCCCAGCGACAATTCTTTGTTAATCTAAGCAAAATCCAGATATACAGCAAGCAGTCGTACTCTCATCTGAATTACATGCGCAATGTACCTTTCCAGCGGAACTTTCCAATCAAAACATTATTAGACAAAGTATATTAGCTTTGCATTGGAAAAGTGTTATGCGAGGCTTTGGTGACCCAATGTGACATTTCGCAAACCTGATGGCAATTGGGCCGCTAGTCTTAACAAAACTCTGCAACATTATTTATCATTCCGATCGCCATGACACGACTAGGAACACTGACAACGTCCCAACCGTGAAAATCACTCATTAACGAATCAATCCAGTTAAGTGCCGGGTGCGATTCTCTGCGCGAGATTTAAGCGCAATTTCTCGTGTTTATTGAATACCAACAATTCCGAGAACTTCTAAAACTTAATCTTAGTCTAGTTAAAAAGATAAGTAAGAAATATTATCTTTAATTCTGGGTTTTTTCCAAAAACCTTTTTAGCGTTGAAAAAGGCTATAATAACGGAAGTTTTCCGTTTTGCTGGGATAATGAAGAGACATTATTTTCTATATTTGCTTCATTCATATTCATCTCGATCTAATTAGTCAAAACATACGGAGCTTCGCCCAGGTGAAGATTCTGTTCTACCTTGGCGCTGTGAAGGTTACCAGAGTACATGACTCCAACTAATGAGCATAGTCGGAAACGAAGTTTGCTAAACACAGTAAATATGCCTCCGACTTGCAGTATAAGCGGGAGAGAGAATTGAAAAATCACCAACAAAAGCCTTGGCAATTTCTTAGATTTCACTTGGAAGCTTTATTGCTATTTTACATACTTTTCTGGCTTTTGGCAGCTGCGCGAGCAAAATAAGGAGCGGGACCCAGTGAAAGATACTGTAAGGTACTTTGCAATATCTGATCGTCTAATCCAAAATAAAGAAGTATGATGTTCCGCAAATTGATTGCGCTGATTGAGTCATTTTGCCTATTATCCAGTCTGTTTGCATGTGTTAAAGCAAAGTGAAGATGATTTTCCTTTGGTGTTTGCACTTCACAAACACCTCTAAATGCACGCTAGTGCTCGATTTGGTGGAAGATCAGTCAATTAATCAGACTTCTTTGTTAGATCTTACGCAAAGGAATCTTTACATTGTTAAAGGCACCGTCCACCCAAAATCTCGAATTCAATGTTTTTGTAGCTTTCAGGCCTTCTAGAAGCCCTGATTTCGAATATGAAGTTGAAAATCCGCGAAACTCCCAAAAATCCCTGTTTCGAGAACTCTCTGCAACAAGCACAGGCGCGATAAAGCATGCAAGTGGGCGGGGCGACCTCGGTCGCCCCGCCTACTTTGCTACTTCCGGAGCGAATTTCTCGCTTAGAAGCAGTCTTTTGCGGCGAAGCTTGGGGGTTTGCCTAGTGTGGGGGCCCCACACTAGTATGCCATCATAATCTCGCCAACCTCCATTTTGGGTGGACGGTGCCTTTGAGAAAAACTGAGAACAAATTTCAGAAAGCTTGTAGGAGTGTTTTGGAGTTTACATTCTGGGTCTATAAACTGGCTCTAGCACACTAAAGTTATTCGGAGAATTTTACTGAATTTGTTATCATGAAGAGACTTGCATCATCGCTGTGCACAAAAGCAATCATGCCAGCACAGAACTGCCACATCCTTGCGAGAACATTATAGAAAGCGGTGTTGTCGTCAACTGCGAAATAGAAGTGCATAGAAGCATATACGATTCCTTGAAAGAAAACTCTATGAACAAACTCTCATGCGAAGACATTCAACACAAAAGTTAAACGCCACTAACCCAAGTAAAATATCGTGTTTGGTAGTAGCAAATCCTGTAGAAAGAAAAGAGGGGGAGCCAGCAAGTACCATTGCATCTCGACGCATAAAGACCAAGTGTGCGTAAAAAGATCATCAGCATTTTTCAACTGTAACTCATACACACTATAGGCTCTTGAATAAACTTCGACGTTTCTAGAGTTACCATTTTCTCGTACTCCTTTAATGGATCACTTTCGAACTTAATGTTTGCGATGAGTAATAATGCTCTGCGAGAACTTGTAAAATTTATGGAGCGAAATGCAGGTAGCTTTACTACGACAAGTAAAAGTACTGCGAACAACACCATATAATACAACGGCAGTATTCGTTTAATTCTAAACACTTGCCAAAATTGCACTATTAATAATGGGTTAACAATTTATCTTAACCTTTTATAATAAAAAAGTAAAAGAGACGAAGCACTCATTGGCGATGCTCTGGTGATTATCATTGCCATCAGAAAGCCGGACACGACGAAAAACCTGTGAGTATCTCTGCTTAATAAACTCGTTTTAGATCAGCTGTTCGTAATTAAGCTCTCTCATGAAGATTGTTAGAGCTATACATCGCTTCACAACAACTCACATGTCTACCCCTACGTAGCCGTTTGGACAATACATGGGAAAGAAATGGAATGCAGCTACCATGATTATCGCCCACGCTCGTATTCCTTGTATATCTTGCCGCTTTCGATCCGTAGACTTCCATGCTCTTCTATAGATAAAAAAGTTTTACAAATTATGATCAAGTTTTCGTGACAATTTGACTGGCATCTCAAAACTCACTACCAGACGATGCAAGCCCTATTGTTAAATTCATTCTGTTAGAAGTTGCATTATAAAATTGAAAAGCCTACGATTTAGGAGGTGTAAGCTCTTATTTAGGTTGGTGCAAAAGTTATGCGCGTTTTGTGAGCTCTCGCCTTGACGTGCTATAACTTTCTAAAGAATCTACATTTTTCAAGGCAGTAAAAAACATTACAAGCACAAACCTTTTGCAATATAGGCACATCCTCCTATACTCATAGCACTAACGGGCAGGAAAATATGGATTGATAAGCACAAAAAGTTTTTTCCTGAAACTTCGTTTCTTGATCATAACATCCTTCAAAATTTGTCAGTAGAAATGCTAAGTAGCCTATCTTGTAGCCGCTAGTCAGTAGTACAAAAAAAGACGAAAAGGGCTCAAACAAAGAGGATTCGCGAGAAAGAAAAATTAAAATTTAAAATTGCCCGCTTTTTTAAACATTTTTTCGCAAACCTAAAATTCCCAAAATATTGAGTTTGATTTTCTGCGTTACAAACAGCTAAATAATTCTGTAAAAACTGTGAGTAGGAAACCCACAATTAGGCTTGCAAAAATCAGCAAAGCTTTGACGATTGCCCTCTTCAAAAGAAATTTATGAATCACTAAATGATCAAAACGACTGCACATGTTGAGGCGCAGAAATCTCAGTCTAAGTAATCTCCATTGATAGCAAAATAGCAGAGTGCATAATGTAGACAATTTCCATTGAATACATAGCTAGAGTTTCAAAAGTTTGCCTTTATTCAGGCTTGCTGGCCAGAAAAGTAAATGAAACCAAATTCTGGTTACTGCGGTTGTGTGAAGCTTTATTATTTTTCAACTAAGGAAGCTAAAAGCCCTTTTCAACCACCATTAGATAGAGGACGAAAGGAGCTTGTTGATAGTATGGTAAGTTTTCTTCAAAGAAGAAAGCTTGATGGAGAACAGTTGTCCTGAAATAAGGGAAAGAAAAACGCGCATTACTTTTGCACCAACCTAATATTTCCTACAATTTTGGTTGACTATAAAGTCTACAACGCAGTCGACAAGACCAAATTTTGCGTGGAGGAGCATTGAAGCGCAGAAGCATTAATAGTCATCAAATTTGCCAAATACCTTTCAAAATCAACTTGACTATGCTCAAAATAAGAATCACACAAAGTTAATGCGTAAATTTTCAGACTTCGAAATGTATAGTAGTGTGCACTTTATTTTTCAAGGGTGTTTTCACAGGATGCATTCCGTTTTGTAAGTGGCCCATTTTCAAGTATTCACTAGTCTGACAAGGGAAGGATACTTGGTGACCGTGGTCATTCATGCTGATTTGCTTTCAGGAAATGCGCCTTTTAATGCTGCAATACTATCTTCCAAATCTGCAGAACGATAGCTTGAATGGAGTTCTTATTATTTTTTTGAAAATGAATTGCGCTGCTGCGAAGGGTCAAAATCATCAATAAAAATTTTATTAATTTTTGAATGCTGTATATGATTTAGATAGGTATAAATAAACTGTAACTTAGAACGAATATAGTGATTTTGATTATCCAAATGTATGCAAATTTTCTAGGTGCGATAAGGTGAGAATGACCTTTCCAGGGTGGGGGTTACAGCGGTCGCAGCCCTTCCCGGTGAAAGGGTGTTTCACTTGATAGAGAAACTGTAAAACGACTGAGGAGGGGGGGGGGGGGAGGGAGTCATGGTGTTCTCTCATCATTCTTCCTAGTCAAAGTTTATAATTTTGAATTGCTTGCCATCACTGGTTGTCTTTTGGGAAGTGAACAGATGTGCGGCTAGATTAGCACACAATTATGTTTCTGACAAAAGCCTTGTATTTTTTTACATTTCTCCTTTTCCTTTTTTTTTACATTTTTACATCACCCTGCTTGTTTTTGAGATGGTTATAGAAAATGTGCATGTGAGAACATTTGTTTCGGAAAGAGTTAGACAATGTTTAAACATTTGCGAATTTTTTTGAAGAAAAATTCGTAATTTCTGCAAATGAATAGCAATGTCAGCAAGGAAATTGTTTTCAAAACCATCTCGTCCTCCGCTTTCAGGGAATTTATAGTTTGCCTGAAACTGTTGAAAAAAGTGCGCCCCCCCCCCCCCCGAGAACGGATCGCGAAATTTTTGAAAGTTACTTATATGGGTTATAAAATTGTGCAAATGACTTGTCTGCACTTGTAAAAAATTGAAATATTTTTTAAATTTTTTAAAAAAATCTATTTTAGCCTTATTTTTTCGGGGACGTGGCTGACGCCAAGCTCCTTTTTTGGAATTTCGGAATTCTGAGCCCGCGAAAATTTTAGGGAGCATACCAAAAGATTTCGGAGTGCGTGACTAACGCCACGCACCTTCATCGGAAAAAATTTTTTGTTCTCCCCCCCCCCCCCCCCGACCCGAAATCCTGGGTACGCCATTGTGGGTAGTGATTTCTGGATATTTAGAGTGGTAAAAAAGCCTCCACCTGACAACTCCCATTATAAGAGTCTCAACCACCCTTCACCCTTAAACGGACCCCAAGCAAAGATATTTTCTGAAGGCGGAGGGCGAGATGGTTTTAATGGTGATTATCTCAGCGTACAAGATATTCATCTACAAAAGTTATGATCTTTCAAAGCTAGAAACTCGAAAATCTTCAGAAATTACTAGGCACACCCTTCACCCAGGCACTTTTTTGGACGGATTTGAGACATGCTGTATATTTTCTGAAAGGACGAGGCAATTCCGATGGTTTCTATTTCACTGTACCAGCTATTCATCTGCAAAGTTATGAATTTTTCTGTGTTAAAAACTTGTAAGTGTCCAGAAATCACTAGGCGCACCTTTTGCTGGGTACTTCTACGAACGCACTCTAAGCAAATCATTTATTCCCTCCCAGAGGGGAACGTTGTACCACGGAACTTTCCTCGCTGACATTGCTGTGGCCTAACAACTAAAGCCTCATTAAGACACACAAGATTGCTGCAACCGATTATACGCGGTTGATGTACCTGGACAGTTTGAAATAAGACCTATCATCAGTTGTCTTGGAGAGCCAACCGACAGAATTTCTTGGTTTTCAAACAAGACAGATTGTATGTCAGCTGCTGGCCAAGAAACCGTCCCACTTATAAAATACTAACTAATTTCTCTAACGCCTACATAAAGCTAAGTTCAACAGGCGTGATTGAGTCATTTGATGTGGTGTCGCTGTATACCGATGTTCAACATTACAACGCGTTACAAGCGTTATCGGAAATGTTTAATAGTTTAGTGAGAACATCCAGACTTTCGGGCTGAGCAAGAAGTATATCATGATACTGATCAAGAGTGTTTTAGTAAACATCCTTAGATGGTCAGGATTGTACTTCACCCAGCTGAGAGGTCCCGCGATGGAACAAAGACTTGCGCCGGCCCTCGCAATATGTGAGTGAAATCGAGAATCCGGTGTTGTCGAGACTTCCTCGTATGCATTGCCAGTACATAGATGACTGTTGTGTAATAACATCTACAAGTCCGAAATGGACGAGTGTTTTTGTTTGCTGAACGAACAGTCGCAATACATAAGATTTACACGCGAACAACCCGCTGACGGCTGGCTTCCGTGTTTGAACGTACAATTTGAACTGTCCGGATGCCATGCGACTGTTAAATGGTATCGTAAAAACAGCTCAAAGGACATCATACTTCATGCTCGCTTTGATCATCCATCTGCAGTAAAAGATGCTGTGGTTCATAACATGTTTAATACTGCAACACAGGTCTGTACAGGAGAGAAGAAACAGGCAGAATTGCGAAGTCTGGCATCGGATATCGCTCGGGCAAATGGTTATCTGATGCATCATGTGCACAGTAATCCGTGTAACATCGTTCTATGCAACAACAAGATAGCTCTCTATCTGCCCTTCATTTCAGATGAAAGAGTGTTGCTATATCACACAGCATCAGGCGAGCGCGATTGAGCGACGATGTCATTTTAGTGATTCCAAGCGATAACATCAAGAAGCGGCTTGTACGAAATAGGCTGTACGTTAGATTTTGTATCTCAAAAAAGTGCATAATATGTCCTTACGGTAAGGTCGGCGACTGTGAAAAAAGTAGGAGTGATATATCAGCTTGAGTGTTTTGAATGCGGCGCCACCTACATTGGAGAAACAGGGAGGGCACTTGGTGTGAGAATAAAAAAACATTTAGCCAACAGAAGGCATATTAGTCTCAACTCACTGTTAGGCAAGCATAGACATGAGGTGCATGGTGATAAAGACTACGAAGTTAAATGTTGATTTTGGCTTACGAGACCGACACTTCTGCGCGGAAGGCTCTCGAAGCATTCTGGATCTCTCAGAGAAACCCCACTGTGAGCAACAGAAAGGAGTGTCTAACGATTACGAATGACTTGACGCCGTTCATAACGTCATGTGGGCTATAATGTAGTGCTATTATGCGATACCAAGTTGCCTAGTGTAGCTCAGGCATTACTGACACGTCAAAACGGGTTGCACATACCACCAGTGCACCATCGGTGAAGCGGCGCTGAGGTTGGTTCGTTTTCCTCTTTATGCGAATTTTCTTTGAAATCGGAGGGGGGGGGGAACGCAACTAGCCAGAGGGTGATAAGGCATTTGGTGGTATAAGCATAAGGATCTGAATCTCGCGCCACTCTAGGCCTCTGAAGACGACTATAAGTCGAAACATAAGGCCGCATCTATAAAAGGCTTCAGCAAACCTCGTATTGGCATAACAAAATCAACGTAATTATACGACATGCCAAGGTTTTGAGAAAAAAGGACAACCAAACTACAGAACCTACTATTTTTTTCCTTATGGAAGTTTGTGAAAGCCTATAAATCTTCTTCCTCCTTTCCGATACACAACAAACTCCCGTACAAATATATCCTTTGCTTGGCCTTATCTCATTGTTGATTTTTTTCTTGGCTTTTGGTGAAGGGGGTCACCTTGGTCCCGCTTCGGAGGTGAAGAGGGATCAAGGTGACTCCCTTCACCAAGGACCAAGGTGAGGGGGGGAGGGGGGAGGGAGGTGAGCAACTTCTACATTATCGCACCTATGGTAAATGCTAATGCTTGCTAATGGTTTATACTGAGCTATTACCTTAGCTCGGCTATTAAAGGCTTATCAGCGTTCACTTCGACTTCATCATCAGACGCTGCAAGTTGAGACCATAACCTCCATTTAAACATTGCACAACACTGCAAACCTCTTTCGGAAAGCAAAAGCTCTCGTGACATAGTTTTAGCGGAATGGAAACTCTAAATGATAGGATGATGCATCAAGAAAAAACGAAGTTTTTTTTAGAGAGCGATAGTCAACTCTGATGGTGGTACAGTGCGTGTATAGAAGCAAAAAGACTGAGACAACAGCAAATGTAAAGCGCTTTTGTTCTTTCCTCTGCAAACCTCGGTTTACTTCTGCCATATTGCCAACATGAAGGGTAGAGATCACTATCAGTGGTCTAGTGTTTCGACACTAATCGTTTTTTTTCAAACAGAGGTGATGCGGGTCAGCGATTGTTCGTCTACCGTCTTTTTTGGTTAATTCTCCATCCTTTCTAATTTTTTGCTAGGTAGCAAAGCTCCTCTATATGGGACCCAAAGAGGTGATAAAGACCCTCCTCGAACACATAGGCCACTAGTCCCTTGTTAGTGTCTGAAGAATACAATCAGTGTTAAGACAACAGGCTATCAATAACAAACTCCGCCCATGCGTCTCGTGAAACAACATTGGGTCGATCAACAGTACCGTAAGCATCTTACAAGGTTATGGTTAGAAGTCGCAGGGAGCTGCCTACCATTCGATGCAGCATTCAACGCTAATTTAACAATCTGTATTCTATATCTGCTTAACCATTTGTGGCCGAAGTTATGAGCAGTTTCATTGCAAAAAATTATACATAGAAATTGCAGAATTATGCACATTGTTGCAGTTTCAGCTCACCCTTAGGGCTTTGAGAAAATAAAGTAACCTAACTGCATGTTTTGGCCCAGCACTAAGTCAAACGTGACTCTGTACTGCCAGATTTGCGCTTTGCATGCACGATTTTCTAGCAAAATAACGGCGTTAAACGGCCCATAAATTCGTCCACATAGGCGCTAAGCAGGTATGGAACACGAACTCGGAGTCAGTTTTCATGCTGTACTAGCTGGCTTACCAGGCTCCGCCCGGCCCTGTCAAACACTACGGTAAAGCTCTCATCAGTATCCCTGTCCAACTCTCAGCCCCGTAGCTCAAACTTTGCAAAAAATCGATAAAAATCGATAAAACCGATATCGATCGATGACGAAAAGTAGCCTATGACATTTGCCCCGCCCCAAAGTGTATGTGTGCCAAGTTTGGTCCGGACCGAGAAATGGAATCTATTCGGAACATACATACAGGCATACAGGCAGACATTCAGCTTTATATATAAGATTTAAAATTAGGCAGCTTGTTGGGATTGGCCACTTTGAGATCTGACCTTTCCTTTGTTAGCGGTAGAAAATTGCGCAAATGCATATGTAACTGTTACTAACCGCCACATGATGACCAATTGGGCAACTTGTAATTTCTCCAGAAAGGTTGATTTTTTGCATAGTAAATGCTCACATATTTCGGCTTCAAATTTTACGTGAATCAAAGATTTATAGGTCCTCGGTGTTCCTCGGTGCGTGTTTGTAGAGCTTACTTTATTCTATCAGATGACGCTCCATATGTTTTTCTATATTTACATGCTTTGGTAGCATAGGACTATGGCCGGCAAAGTCCCATCATCACCTCCCCGCGATGTCGGGCAACGGGGATCAACCCCGGCAAACGACGAGGGCACTGTCTCGTCAGGCGGAGCGACGCGCCGGGGACTGTACGAATCAGTCGTGTCACATGCATCGGACTATTAAGGATTTTCGTCAAGCTGCTAAGGCGTCCCCCGGAGGCGACGCGCGTCATTGCCCGCCTGGCGCGAATAGTGAGCTAGGGCTACCTGCCCCCGGACGGAGCAGGCCAAAGAAGCGAGTCCAGGAAATCCGACTAGCGACGATTAAAATAGGAACGCCGACGAGCCGCAGCCGGGAGCTATGCGAAAGACCGAGGGAGCGACACATCGACATCGCATGTGTACAAGAAACGAAATGGAAAGGGAGGCAGGCTAAGGACATCGGCGAGGGATATCGCTTATACTACACGGGAGATAGCAGCCGCCAGAACGGAGTCGCGATCATACGATGCAGTGACACGACTGATTCGTACGGTAGATACCGCGAATTAGTGACCGAAGTGACGCGCATTTCAGATAGATTGATGGCGTGAAGATCGAAGCAAGCCGCAGAAGCACACGACTTGGCTATAGCGAACACATTTTTCAAAAAGCGGGAGTCACATTTGATCACAAACGCGAGTGGAGACCGCTCAATTCAGATGTACTACTGGATGCTGCGCCGATGCCATTTGCCGATTGTGATGAACGCGAAGGTTATACCCACGGCGGCACATGCATTTACGCCACAATACCGGTTGCTCATATTGGATCTTCAACTGAACATCCACTTGCACTCACGAACCAGAAGGACGACCACAAAGAGGATCAAATGGTGGAAGCTTTCTGAACATCGCCAGCAAGTCAGAATTGCTTTTAAGGATCTGAGGGTGTCGAGGATGATAAGGAATCGATTGAAGAAGAATGGAATCGGATTACTTCGCAGATACGATTAAGGGCCGAGGAGATCTTGGGAACCACCAAGCCAGGACACCTATGTAGACAAGCAGATCTGGTGGTGGTTTGAGTGAGTCCAGCGAGTGATCAAGGAGAAGGAAGAAGCCTTCAAAGCCTGGCAGCGCTCACACTTAAATGAGGACCTCCGTCTATATCGAGAACTGAACTCGAAAGCGAAGCATGCGCGGTAGCCGAAGCGAAGGAAGCACACTACAAGAGAGTTTACGACGAGCTGGAAGGCCCTGCTGGAGCTGACAAGGTCTACCGACTGGCCGCTGCACGACAAAAGCGAAGCAGGACATCGACCACGTCATGCACATTAAGGACGCAGAGGGCAACCTCCTGAGGAAGCCGAGGGCAACACTCAAGCGGTGGAGTGAATACTACAAAGGTCTATTTAGTGAGGAGTTCCCGCACCCGTTAGTACCGCAAGGAGCGCCCACATTTGGACTGGTATCTCGGATCGAGGAGGCAGAAGTTGTGCAGGCACTAAGGAAGATGTCTAGCGGTAAAGCCCCGGGACCCGACGACATACCTGCTGAAGTGTGGAAGATGATGGGGCAGCGTGAAGAGGCATATCTCGCATCGCTCTTTGACCGCATTATCGTCGACGGACAGTTGCCGCGAATCTGGACTACCAGTGTTACGGTCCCTATCTGGAAAGAAAAGGGGCGACGTTAGCTCAACATATCGACCGATACGCTTGCTATGCCACATGAAGATCTCCGAACGAGTCATCGACGCACGCATCCCGAGGTCTAGTGGAAGTCACCCCGAATCAGTGCGGCTTTGTAAAAGAATCTGGCACCATCAACGCCATCCACGCAGTACGATTGCTAATGGAAAGGCATTTGGAAAAACGGATTCCGATTCATTTCGCATTCTTGGATTTAGAAAACGGATACCGCACGGGCTGATCTGGTATGCGCTGAGACAACACGACGTTCCAAAAGAGTACGTTCGCTGGATCAAACTCCTCTATACGAACACGATGGGTGCCGTACGCTGTGCAGTGGGAACGTCAACGCCATTCCAAGTCAAGTCGGAATACAGCAAGGATCGGCTCTATCACCGCTTCTCTTTATACTGTGCGACACGGTGACCAAGGACATTCAGCTGCCGCATCCGTGGACGCTCCTTTACGCAGATGACGTCGAGCTAGCAAGCGGATCGAGACAGGAGCTCGACGAGGCGACTGTGAGATGGAAGACACGATTAGCGGAATACGGCTGCGATTGAACGTAAAAAAGGCCGAGTACCTGGAATGCGGAGAGCAAACCGATGGCACAATTAGCATCGATGGGCAGCCGCTGAAGAAGGTCACGATATTCAAATACCTGGGCTCCCGAGTGACGTCAAATTGCGACACGATCACTGATGCTCGTGCTAGGACGAACGCGGCGTTGCTAAAATGGCGGCAAGTAACACGAGTACTCTGCGACTGACGAATTCCGATGTATCTCAAATGTAGAAAGTCGAATGTCGAAAGTGTATCGGACTGTGGTAAGGCCAGTCGCCCTGTACGGAGCCGAATGTTGGCCAGCAACCAGACAACACGAGCAGATCCTGAGCACGATGGAGACTCGAATGATAAGATGGATACTTGGCTTAACGAGGAGAAACTGCGTCGCAAACGATGATGTACGACACATTTTCGGAGTTGCACCTATCGCGGATAAGATGCGAGGTGCCAGATAACGATGGTATGGTCACGTTTTACGAAGTGAAGATAACACAGTGGCAAAAACAGCAGTTCGTCTGGATCCACAGGGGGAACAGACCACGTGGCCGGCCGAAGCAACGTTGGTTGAACACCATTCGAAACGACCTACACATTGCAAAACTGAAACCATAAGAAGCAGCTGACCGAGCCAAATGGAAGAAAAATGCAACACCGCTGACCCTGTCCCCGCGGGACAATGGCGAAGATAAGAAGAAAAAGAAGAATAGGTAGCATAGGGCTAGGTAAAGGCTACTGCAGAACGAAGGCGCAGAAGCAATATTAATCGAGCGGGCACGAATGCTATGCGCGCGTATCGGCACTAATGCCTTCCTCAGAGGCCTGAAAGTCAGTCATTCACCTTAATCTTGCACTTTACACGGCCAAACCTCTCCTCTAGACTCGACTATTCAATTCATTCTAAGTGGACATCAACGAGTATCCAACTCACTAACAACTCACCAGGGGTCACGCTGATAATGTGCTTCGAGGAAGTGTCTAGCTTCACCCAGAGACGACAAGAGTATAAACGTGGTCCTTTCAAGGATCGGTTTATATAGTGGGCGTTATAGCTGGAAATATGACAGAAACGGCATGAGATCACTTGTGATAGAGAGTTGTTCATTTTTGCCATTCATTTTGGGCTAACTGGATAGAATGAATGACGCCTCCAAGGTTTTACGAGCAGATATTTTTGTCCCTAAAGGTTATACAACGCACTTAACTTGAAATCATTGCCGCCATGATCAACTTTTTTATGTTTTCCCAGCGGGGCGCTACGTTTTCCCGTTTTTTACTGGCCAAGTGCTCGTTGCCAAGTGTGACTATAGTTTACAAACTTCTTTTTACGTGAATGATACTAAATAATGCTTCTACATTATTTTGAGCTTACAAAAATAGCGTACACCAATTATGAAGGCAAAAGTTCGAGCGCAAACCTGCGGTTAGGTGTATGTCAGGTGCGCTTTGGATACAAAAACTCGAATTTTTCTCTACTCCTCACACTGCTAAGCATATATAAGGTAGATAAAACCCTATCACTTTCAAACCAGTCAAAAAAGTGCGAAATACTCTATAAAAACACATTCTCGAAAACAAAATACGCATAAAAGTATTTTTAAGTGAAAAAAAAAGCAGAGAAGCGTTTCTTATAAAGGTATGACACAGCTGAACTAAAGCGACTGCTTTGACTTTTGACTATGTATATGCACAAAAGACTTTTGGTAGCCGAGAATTACTTTAGCAGACAGAAATTTTAGGTGGATCTATAGTTTTGGCCAACCTTCGGGCCTGCCTTTTTCGAAATTTTTGATTTTTCCTGAATAATTTAACGAAAGCGGGATCCGCTCAGGTCACTGATGGAAGACTGTTGAACACACAGCTGTACCAAATTTCAGATCAATTCGTTGAGAAGCAGATGAACTACGGCAGTTTTTTATAGTGGATCTGATATAGTGAACTGTCATTTGGAATTTTTTAAATTTTTATCGGAGACAAAAAGTTCGCTGTTATGGTCATTATGTTGACACTTGATATAAAAATGGGTCCGTTGCAGACATTCTTAGCTGGCAAGGCAAAAAAAAATGATTGACTTGACAGCTCATGTGACAATACAACAATGTCCAACAACTTCGTTTCTAGGTTTCTCTCAGTGCCGTGCTTTTTCCGACTAGACTAATTAGCGTCCTTGTATATGTTACTGGCATCACTTCGAAATCGAAACTAACCAAAAATAGATCGTAAAATAGGTCACTCGGGCACTTGCACAAACAATCTCTGGCACCAACAATTTAAGGGCAGTGCCCGGCAAAAAGTCGATTTTGAGATTTTTTGCAAAATTTGAGCTACGGAGCTGAGAGTTGGCACAAGGGGGTAATTGAGCATGTTGATTACGAATAAAATAATGAAAGGGCCGGGCGGAGCCGGGTAAGTCAACTAGTTTCATTAAAAAACATACAATTTGAATCTACAGACTGAGTAGGATAGATGAACTCAAAAAATTGCTACCCACACCAGCTTGGCAAGTGATCAAAGTCTTATTTGGAACACCGAGAAAACGACATTAAAAACCGTTCAATCAAGGAAGTGTTGATTTCTCATGCCCTATAGGCCCCGGGCAGACTTCACGCGATTTAATCGTCGCGACTGAAACGCGACGAGACAACTGTTACAACAACATTCCATGCTGATCAACTCGCATTCGGTTGTGATACTTTTCCAGCCCGTAGTTTTTGAATGTGAAATGAAAATGAATGGAAATCTTGGCGATTAGATCGCGACGATTAAGTCGCGTGAAGTCTGTCCGGGGCCATAGCCTGCGTAAAATCTAATTTTTACCTTAATTTGGTTACTAATGCGTGAAGCCTTTGAAGACATTGAGTCCCAAAACTATAAACTTATCAATAGGCGAAAATAATGCACAACCTCCTTCAGGCGTATTATCAATTCATCAAGTCACATATTGTCGAGTCATTTGTATTTCAATGTGTGAGCCTGCCTACAACGCACGGCAACCAAGGGCTCATTTATCAGTGCCTATTCAGTAAAACAATTTGTAGCGTAACGAATTGCAAAAGTCCATACTGTCACTAATGCATATTCAGTCAGACCGAGAGAGGCAAGGAAGTAAGGAGAAATCACCGAAAATGTGCAGTTCCAATCTAACAATTTCATTTAGTGACATGCATGGTGTGCAATAGCACACCATGCGTAATTACTCTTATTTGACGAGTACAAGAGGGACCTTTTTCATCTTTTCAATCATGCCGCTCGGCAGCACCTCCCTGGCGAAATGGTCGCTCTCCCACACAAATTTAAACAAGAAGCACGGTAGAGGCTCCTTCGGTCGGGAGATTTTCTGAAGTTTCAGGCAGGTCAAGTTTAGAAAATAAGATGCGTCTTGTGCTCGTGAACTGAGGATACATATAAGATGAAGACATTAAGAAAATTCTCTGAAAAAATGTTCATTTGACACAAAAGATGACGAAATAATTTTAAACAAGAACGACTGGCTACAGTCGCTCACGACAATGCATGGAGTGTTTGCGACATAGCGCGGGAATTAGGTTTACACAGCCGCAATGTGAATGAGAGAGAATTATTTTTTGAGAGTTAATGTGTACTGAATAATATAGGCTTTCTCAAACATTTATCAAACAATTGCTCTCTTGCTTTTTCGTCGTTCATTACTGTCCCGCTTCTGATGAAAAAACTCCGAACCTGGAGAAACGTAAACGAGTAGAAGCGCCATCCATTTGTGACAGATTTCAGCTGATGCTCAAAACAAAATCGCGCTTATTCTTGTATCCCTTTCGAAGTTTGGAACTTTCCCAATCACAAGAGCAAGCGAGACACAAGAATGAGGTGAAAAATAGCAAAATTTACTATAGAAACGTTTAAGAAAGTCAAAAGTTGGTATTTCGCGTCCTTTAAAACCGCATGCGGACGGTTGCAGCGTATGCAACACAGTTTCGGAACAGTTCCAGTAAAGTGACGAATATATAGTGATACCGCAGACAATGGACAAAGAAAGCGCTAACCTGCACCTAGCAGACACAACTGAAATGAAATCATGTCCAGTTTTTTATCACACTGTAAAGAAGCATGGAATTTTATCACAAAATTTGGCTTCCCGTCACCTTAAGAGGTCCTTAGAAGCCGTTGACCATAGGTGCGATAGTGTGAGAATTTTGCTCATTCACCCCTGAACTGGGATCAAGGTGACTTCCTTCACCAAAAGCCCAGATAAAAATCAACAGTAAGGTAAGGTTAAGCAAAGGATATTTGTACGGGGAATGTTTGTGTATTGGAAAGCAGGAAGAAGATTTATAGGCATTCACGAACATCCAGGACGAAAAAAATAGTAGCTTCTGTAGCTGTACAGTAACGCCAGTGAGAAAAGTTCCGTGGTACAACGTTCCCATCTGGTTTCAGGGAATAAATTGTTTGCTTACAAGGGAATGGTCAGAAGTCGAAGTGGCCAATCCATACAAGCTGCATACCATTCGATGCAGCATAAAATGCTGATTTCAAATCTGTCTTTCATATCTGCAGAGCGCCGTTGTAGGCGAAGTTATGAGCAGCTTTACTGCGAAAAAGCCGTATACAAAAATTGCAAAATTAGGCACATTATTGCTTTTTCAGCTCAACTCTACGGACGGGTCATTTGAAGTGACCTAGTTGCATGTTTTGGTCCAACACTGAGCCAAGAATGGCTTTGTACGGCCAAGTTTGCGCTTTACACGCACAATTTCTTAGCAAAATAATGGCCTTCAACGGCTTATAATTTCGCCCACAAAAGCGCTCTGCAGATAAGGAAGACAGATTTAGAGTCAGCATTTTACGCTGCATCTACTGGTATGCAGCTTGTATGGATTGGCCACTTCGACTTCTGACCATTCCATTGTTAGTGTCCGTTCTTAGAATTATTTAATGAAAGGTGTGCTTAGTGATTTCTGAACACTTACGAGTTTTTACTTTTAAAAAATCATACATTTGTAGATGAATAGCGGTACAAGGAAATAGTAACCATCAAAACCGCCTAATCCTCCGCTTTCAGAAAATTTATAGCATGTCTCAAATCCGTCCAAAAAAATGCCTGGGTGAAGAATGTACCAAGTGATTTTTGAGGATTTTCGAGTTTTTGAAATAAAAAATTCTTAGCCGTACCAATCCACTGAAACAGCGCCGAGATTTAAAGTCTTGAAAAAGCAAGTAAAACAGCGCTTTTTGAAATTCAACAGCTCATAACTTCTTCAGAACTGCATAGATCATGAATCATGTTTCGACTTCATAGGTTGGATTCTTCTCGTCAAGAGCTTCCAGATGATTTATAATATGTGGGGGTTTGGGGCCTCCTACGAATAATGCCCTGGGGGGGGGGGGGGAGGCTTTTCATCGCAAAGTCTCCCCTAGCCCACTTTAATGTATTGGGTGGAGGCCGCCAGGGGAGAATTTGTGATGAAAAGTCTCCCCCCCCCCCCCAAGGGCATAATTCGTAGGAGGCCCCAAACTCCCACAAATAACCTATGAAGTCGCAAATGACTCATGCAGTTCTGAAGAAGTTATGAGCTGTTGAAATTCAAAAAGCGCTTTTTTACCTGCTTTTTCAAGACTCTAGATCTCGGCGCTATTTCAATGGATTGGTACGGCTAAGATATCAATACTTATATAATATTTGGATAAGCATTTTTTTATGACCGGCCTGAAACGGCACAAAGAATCGAAGAATTCGGATGAAACTTTGCACACATGAAAATCGGGGTGGGACGGGTGTCACTAAGCTTTTTCACCGAAAATTACTGAGTGGCGCTATCGATTTATCGATTTTTTGCGTTTTTCGCTTAGCAAGTTTGTTATGACCGGCCTAAAAGGTTAGAAAACTTCATTGAATTCAAATGAAACTTTGCACACATAAAGATCGGGGTAGGGCGAGTGTCACTAAGCGAGTGAAAAAAAACCGATTCAAATTTGCATTTGTTCTTTCGAGAAAAGCTTCGTTCATGCGAAATTACCGACTTCATGTGGAAAAGCTTTTGGAATGAATAGTTGTTTACAAATCATTTGTGATAGTCTGCATAGCGCGGTGAGTTCCACTGTCATTATTGTGCGAGAATGAGTAAGGCATACAGATAATAGGGCCAGTGCGAGCCTCTGCGAAGCAGAGGTGAAGCACTGGTATTCTAATAAGGCAAACCTTACTCTACAAAACCTATGGCGTCGCAGCATCACGCACTTTCACGTTCAAGATTTATATGAGTTTAACTGTCAGCTGTCAAAAAACACGCAAAAATGGCGTAAGTTTTTAGAATTCTGGTTTTCGACGACTATCTCTCAAATCGACTCGATTTTTTCGCTGTTTGATAGAACACCATTTACTCTCCAGAACCTATGAAGTGGCAACTGCTGGCATCTTCAAACAACAGATTTATAATAGCAGAAATTTGGCATGATTTTTCAATATTTATTAGGTTGGTGCAAAAGTAATGCGCGTTTTTCTGGCCCTTGTTTCAAGATAGCTTTTCTCCATCGAAGTTTCTTCTACAAAACATACTCAGCATAGTTAAAAAGCCTCTTTCACGCTCTATTCAACGGTGGTTGAAAGAAGCTTCTAGCTTCATTCGTTAAAAATTTATAGAGCTTCATACAACTGCACTCAAAACCAGAATTTCATTGCGCTTACTTTTTCGGCCAGGTTTCAAGCGCGAGTGAAGGCATTCTTTTGAAAATTTAACTGCTATATGTAGTAGAAATTTTCTAAGTTATGCATGCTTTACAGTTTTCCTAGAAATTATATAAACTGAGATCTCGGCGCCTCAACATGAGTGATGGATTTGGCCATTCTGTGGCCCATAAATTTCCTCTGAAGAGGGTAATCGCCAAAGTTTTGCTCATTTCTGTAAGAGTAAGGGTGGGCCTCCTGTTGACAGTTTTTGCAGAAATGTGGAAGCTGTTCAGTACATAGAAAATTTAAAATCTCCATATTTTGGGATTTTAAGGGCTACGAAAAAATGTCGAAAAAAGCGGACAATTTCGAATATTATTTTTTTCCCTTTCCCAAATATTCTTTATTTAAGTTTTGTATTTTTTTTTTGTACTACTGACTTGCGGCTACAAGATGGTCAACTTATCATTTATACCGACAAATCTTGAAAAAAGTTATGATGAGTTAAAAACGAGGTTTCCAAAAAAAATTTTTTTTGTTTATCAATCCATATTTTTCCACCGATTTGTGATGTTAACATAAGTTAATGTGCGCTGTATAGAGAGAGGTTTGATGCCTCCGATGAACTTTGCAGCACTGAAAAATATGGATTTTTTAGAAAGTTATGGCACGTCAAAGTGAGAACTCGCAAAACGCGCATTACTTTTGCACCAACCTGATAATTATTCAAAATTTTGGTTCTTGACCTTTACTGCCTGGATCGATTTACTTTCTTCGCTGTACATTATAACAGAATTTATTTAATAAAATACGTACCGTGAAATAGTTTCGCTGAGTTTTACTTCCGAATACACTATTTGATAAGCACGTTTATTTTGGATATTTATGACCCCGTATACATAAAAATATGCCTTCAATGATCTCTTTTGCATTTGTTTTGCTTATTTTTCTTCTTTATCGTCCGGCGAAAAAAGTTTTTATTCCAAAAGTGAAGGTGGTCCTCTGTACCAGCTCAAAAGTGAAGGTAGGGGGAGAATCGGCTCCCACTATCGCATCTCTGCTGGCAACTCCTCGTTCCCTGCTATCGTCGAAGAACATCCTGATATTGGTCGGCTCTCGATTCTCAATACGGGCTCTCTCTAGTTCAGCTCTTTCTATCTCGTACATCATTCTAAAAAATTGCGCGAATACATTATTTTGCGCATACCACTGGCTCAATTAAAGCATGAGTTCGGGATTGCAATTTAAGTTTTGTATCTTTCCTGAACGCTCTTCCGCTGCAATTGCAGTGTCAAGGATGTATATTTGTCCAAATTGCTTTTCTTCTTCTTGATTCGGATAAGTGTACCGACACAGTGGTATATCTGCTCATGAATGCGGTAACAGTATGGTCCTCTTCCTCTGTGTGTGTCAACCTGGGCATCCATAGACGCCATTGCTAAGGCCGAGTTGAAACTCCTTATGTTAGCAATAAAGTTTCGCGACCATCCTGCGTCAGGCACTGAACCTGAGTTTTCGCCCGTAAACAGCAACCTCAAATCTTCTGTAAAATTTTCCGACACATTCAAATTGAATCTTCCGTAATCGCAACAATCAGCAAA